TCGCGGGCCGCACCTCCGCGCCGCCGCGCTCGGGGCGCCCTCCTCCTCCTGCTCCTCCTGCTCCTCCTGCTCCTCCTGCTCCTCCTGCTCCTGCTCCTCCTGCTCCTCCTGCTCCTCCTGCTCCTTCTGCTCCTCCTGCTCCCCCTGCTCCCCCTGCTCCTCCCTCCTCCTCCTCCTCCTCCTCCTCCTGCTCCCCCTCCTCCTCCTCCTCCTCCCTCCTCCTCCTCCTCCTCCTCCTCCTCTCTGCTCCTGCTCCTCCTCCTCCTCCTCCTCCTCCTCCTCCTCCTCCTCCTCCCTCCTCCTCCTCCCCCCGCTCCTCCTCCTCCTCCTCCTGCTCTCCTGCTCCTCCTCCTCCTCCTCCTCCTCCTCCTCCTCCTCCTCCTCCTCCTCCTGGATGTCTGGACCTGCACCGACACTGGCAGCACTGCTGGAAGCCAGCGCGCGCTTTCTGCGGGTGCGCCTCGGCGCAGATCTCCGCGCACATCAAGACGAAGCCAGGACGAGGATAACATCGGGCGGGGATGAATCGGAAAGCTCTGAGATCCGCGGCCCTGGAGGATGATGTCGTGGGCGCCGCGGCCTTCCCAGAGCGTTCTGGAACGCTCTGAGAGCGTTCAAGAACGCTCTGGAATTGATTTATCATCGCCCCATCTCCGTCTGACACACCCTCGTGAGCGTGCGGGGGGCAGGTCGCAGGAAGCGGGCCCTCCATCTGTTTGTTCTTTCCTCCTGCAAGGTTATTTTTGATGAAAAGTACTCCCCCCTCTCTCCCATGACTCTGTCTGGAAGATGTCGCGAACTCTCCGCGTGGCATTTTGCCACACAAGGTTCGACATAGATGTGTGTGTGTGTGTGTGTGTTTGTGTGTGTGCGCGTGTGTCCTTTTTGTTTTAACAACCCGATTGTTTCCCGTGGTTCAAGATCGTGTTCCCGCTGCAGCGTGGACCTCATTTACGGATCAGCGCTCTGCTCCCGTCGTTCAGAATGGCGTTCTCGCCTCAGCGCGGGTCACTTTCTGGCTCCTAGACCTTCCTCGTCGTTGTCACTCCCCACCTTTGCCCTCCTTCACCTTCCCCTGGCCCCGCTCCTGTCATTCCGATTCCCGCTGCTGTCCTTCGTTCTCGTCCCCGTCCTCCTCCGCTTTCTTCTTCTCCTCCTCCTCCTCCTCCTCCTCATCCTCTTCCTCCTCCTCCTCCTCTTCCTTCCTCATCCTCCGTCTTTTCATTATGCTCAGCTCCCCCGTTATGATAGCGCATTCCACGGCGGTGTCTTGAAGGGAGTTCCAGGTTTCCCAATAACACGCGTCCGCGGATAGAGAAAATCAGAAGGGGAATAGATGGGTTGGAGGGGTGGGAATGCCAGATATGGCGCGAACGCACCTATCTTGCCCCCTCCCCCCCCCCCTACCTCTTCACCCACTTCCTCTTCCTCCTCCCCCTGCCAGCCTACTCCATGCAGTCTCCTCCCTGCAGCTTCCAGCCTTCTCCCTCCTTTCTCCTCCACAACCTCCCTCGTTCACACCCCCTCCTCTCCTCTCCTCCCCCCTCATCGCCCCCTTCAGATTCACTCCTTCCCATCTTCGCTCCTTCCTTTCTTTCCCCCCTTCCCTTCCTCCCCTCACCTTCCCTTGTAGAGAACTCCGCCCCGCCGCATATCGCCTTAGAGCCGTGCGCATTCGTTATTAAAAAGTTTGAGTAAATTTGGCGGATGATGTAGGGCTGCCAGGGCGCAACAGTCACGTTGATGGGCTGTGTTGATGTCCCAAGAACGTTGTTCTGGCACAAATAAGGATCGTCAGGACGAAACAGTTTAGAGTTCGTGGCGTTGCAGTCCAAGGAGTGGTGTGTTGGCACGTAAGGACCTGGGAAGAGGGAACGTGGAGAGAGGGATTATTGCATTATCGTTGATGCTTCTTGGGTTTACAAAGGCCCTCCTCTTCCTCCTCCTCCTCCTCCTCCTCCTCCTCCTCCTCCTCCTCCTCCTGCTCTCTCGGAGAAACCAAAATGTACCGATACCGCCACTCCTGGGATTTCTCTCGGGGTGCATTCTGACCAAGATTTCGAAGCGAATCCAGCATCGGCGATGAGGGCCTCCCAGGAGGCCCAAAAAGGGGAGATCGAGGCCAGAGTAGCGGTATGGGTGCCTCTTCATCCTCTGATCTCTGGGCCCCTTCCCCGGGACCGGCTCTTCATGCTGCATCTCTTGACGGCCCCGAGGCCTGGACAGAGCACCTGGAGGCCGAAGATAGCGAAAAACCTCCCGTTGTGATTTGTTCACGACGCGAGGGGTTCTCTTGAGCAGGGACCGACCGTCCCGGCATTCCTATAGTCCTACCTCGAAATGTTCTTAGAACCCAACAATGTTCTAAATGCAAACACAATGTTCTTATAACATAAACCGGATGTGTTTAAAGTTTTTCGTCCGGCCCGAACCTGGAGGCCGAAGATAGCGAAAAACCTCCCGTCGTGATTCGTTCACGACGCGAGGGGTTCTCCCCTCTCCACCCTGCTGCCGCAGTGATTCAAGGGGCCCAGGGACACACGAAGAAATACACGCAAATAACAGGAGTCCCCATAGTTTCCCATCTTGTCTGGGCTCCTGTCTTCCCCCCCACTTCTCTATTTTCCATTTTTTCTGGGGAATCGAGGGCTAATTGTGCCTCCCGCACGGCGGGGGGAGCCTGCAGGGCGGCGGCGCCGGGGCCCCGCGCCCCTGGGCGTGCGGCCGGGCGCGGCGGCAGGGCGCAGCGGCCACGCGCCCACCCGGAGGCAAGGGCCAGGAGTGTATGTGTGTATGTATATGAACATATATACGCATGTTGATATACATATATATATATACACATATATATACATATATATATATATATATTCAATTATGTGTGTACATGCTTAGATGCATATATGTACATATAAATATACAGACGTATACATACACACGCTTGTACGCGTGTGTGTATACATATATATATGTATACACGTGTCTTCCCTCGGTCGGAAGGCGTTGATGGTAGATTGGGCTTCCGTGCCCCCGAAGAGGAGGGAAGAGGGGAAGCCACTAGATTCTTGAGGTAGGAAGGCGACTGAAGTAGGCGGGAATCTGGGAATCCGAAAACACCTACTTTCAACGACTGATGGGTGTGCATGGATGTATGTATGCATGCATGCATGCATGTATGCATGTTTGTGTGTATGTGCGTAAATTTGGGTATGCATGTGTATGTGTGTATGTATGTGTATGTGTATGTGTACATATATGTATGTATGTATGTCTGTCTGTCTGTCTGTATGTATGTATGTATGTATGTATGTATGTATGTATGTATGTGTGTATGCATGTGTATGTATGTATGTGTGCACGTATGCATGTATGTATCCATGTACGTGTGTGTATGCTTGTATGCATGTATGTATATAGAGGTATGCATGTATGCATGTATGTATGTCTGTACGTTTGTATGCATGTATGTATGTATGTGTGTATGTATGTACGCATGCATGCGTGCATGTATGCATGTATGTATGTGTGAAATTAGGTATGTGTGTGGACATGTATGTATGTAGGTAGGTAGGTAGGCAGGTGCACGTATGCATGTATGTACGGATGTACGTACGTATGTATGCATGCATGCATGAATGCATGTATGTTTGCATGTTTGCATACGTGTATGCTTGAATGTATGCACGATTGTGTGTGTATGTATGTATGTATGTATGTATGTATGTATGCATGTACGCACGTACGTGCGTACGCATGTATGTATGCATGAATACATGCATGTATGTATGTATGTTTAGCGTAATGTATGCATGCATGCATGTATGCATGTATGTATGTCTATATATGTGTATATATCGGGGATCTCTAGAATCCGGGGCCCTGAAGAACGTTTCGGGCGCCGCGGCCGTTCCAGAGCGCGCTCTGAGCGCTGTGAGAGCGTGCTGGACGGTTCTGCAACGAGTTGTACCGGTCCTAGCCCCGCCAGACCCCCCCCCTTCTCACCCTTCTGCCGCTGCGACTGCTGCTACTTTCGGAAGCAATTCCTGGGAGGTCCTCGTGGGAACGGATTCAACTTGATTGAGCCCAATTGGGCGGCAGTTGACCCGAGTCAGCCCCGGTTAAGCCCAGGACACGCCGGATGGTCAAAGATTGAGCGGAATTAGGCGAGCTCCCGACCACGGATCTACCAGCGCCGATGCTGAATTCACCCTCGCAGAAGTTGCAAACTGAGCTGCTGCCGATGCTCCTCCTCCTCCTCCTCCTGCTCCTCCTCCTCCTCCTTCTCCTCCTCCTCCTCTGCCTACTCTTCCTCCTGTCTTTCGGACTCAAACACAACGAATGCTGCTGGACAGGCAACTGCCCTCCGCACGACAAGGTCTTCTTTCCCCTCCCCTCCTAAATTTGCCTACTGGTATGTACTCCTGCCTGGCATGGCGGACAAGGGTGCTGGCGGAAGCGGCTCCTGGGACCCCAGGGCTTGCGAGATCTGCTCCTTGTCCCGAGCCGTCCTGAGACGGCCCCGGGGTCGGGAGAAGGCCCAGGAAGTCCGCGAACGGCAAAGACGCCGCCCCCCCGGGGAGAAGAGGGCGAGGAGGATTCGGGGATGGACAGAAACCCCTTTAGTAAAACGTGGTTTAGTGAAAACGACCTCGGGCCCAAACCCGGCGGTCGCAAGCCTGGAAAATGACGGCCGCGGCGCCCTCTCGAGAACCGAAAACGGACAGCTCACCAATCGGCGTGTCAGGGTGGGGGTCCTGTCCACCCCCGAAGGATGGGGATGAGGAATTCGCGCACCACTCCGCGCCCTCGTGGTAGCCATGAGCGAATCGTGCAAGACGCAACGAACCAGAGAGATCAAACCATTTTCGTGGGCTCGTGGCGGAGCTGCCCCGCGGCCGCGGCGCGCTCCCGCGAGAGCGGGCGAGCCCGGCGAAAGCGGCGACGGCGAGCCCGTCGCGCCCCGCGGCGGCCGACGCGGCCGCCGGCGGCGCGGCGTGGCGTCACCGCGGCGCGGCGAGCTCGACGTAGCCGCCCGCCTCCTCCGCCGGATCGCCCGCGCCGGCCGCGCCGTGCGACCGGCGCCGGCGGCGCCCGCGCCCCTCACGCGGCCCCGAGGGCGCGCACGCCACGTCGTGGCCCGCGCCGGCGCTGGCGCTGCGCAGCAGGGCGGCGAGGCGGCGGCATTCACGCCTCGGCCCTCCTCGTAGGCGGCTCAGCCCCGCGGGGACGACCTATGCAGGAGAGGGGGAGGAGGAGGAGTAAACGAGGAGGAGGCGTAGGGAAAGGAGGAGAGGAGGAGGAGGACAAGCAAGTGGCGACTCGCGTCATATCTGACGTCCTACCCTTCCCTCCCATCCCTTACCATGGCGCTGATTTTCTCTATCCGCGGACGCGTGTCGTAGCGGACCTGTGGCTCCGCGCGCTCGTGCGTAGTGGGTGGTGGTGCACGTGCGTGCGTGCGTGCGTGTGTGCGTGGTTGTCGTGGTGGTGGTGGTGGTGGTGGTGGTGGTGGTGGTGGTGGTGTGGTGGTGGTGGTGGTGGTGCTGGTGGTTGTGTGGTGGTGTGGTGGTGTTGTTACTGGTGCTGGTGCTGGTGCTGGGGTGGTGCTGGTGGTGGTGGTGGTGGTGGTGGTGGTGGTGGTGGGGTGGTGGTGGTGGTGGTGGTGGTGGTGGTGCGGCGCGGTGGTGGCGGGCGGATGGGCGCGCGAGAAAGAGGCCCGCGCTGGGGCGAGAACGCCATCCTGAACGACGGAGGCAAAACACCGATCCGAAAATGAGTCCCACGCTGCAGCGGGAGCACGATTCGGAACGATTCGGGAGCAGAAATGAGGCCGGCGCCTCAGCGAGAGCAGCATTTTTGAAAAAAAAAACACAAGCGAAAACCCAACTCCGGGGAATCCTGTGTAAAAAAAACAGTACGCGGGGGGGTGCCGAATATCTTCCGGACGCCATCAGGGGAAGTGGGAGAGTAGTATTCATATTGTGTAATTGTGGAGGAGGAGCAGACTGAGGAGGAGGAGGAAGAGGAGGAGGAGGAGGCGGCAGAGGAGGAGGAGGAGGAGGGGGAGGCCGTGCAACCCGCCGCCATGCCTGGCCAGGGCCAGCTTCGGAAGGGCATCGCCGGGGCGGGGCGGGCTCCCTGGGGGGGGGGAGCATCGGCCTGGAGCCTGCGATGCATCGCCGACAGAGCCGACTGCCTGCCAGACCACTCCAACCCACCCCGAAGGCACGAATCTGACCCGACTTTCGGGTGGGGGGGGTGCGGGTTCCATGTGTCTTTTGAGGATGCTCCCCGTCACCCCCACACAGGAAGTGGAGGGCAAATTGAAGCCTTCGGGTTGGGTTGGGGTGTTTTTTTAACGGGCGAAGAACGGTGTAAAATAAACTTTTTCGCTGTCGGGGGCGCCTGTCCCAGGGCGGCTGGAAAGTTTATACCCTTACAGTGGCACCGCAGGGGTACAAACTCTCCAGCCGCCCAGAGGCAGGTGTCCCCGACGGCGGAACGTTTATCTTATACCGTTCTTCGCTCGCTGAGTTTTGGTGGGTGGTGAAGATCGGCGATA